CATTACAGCTACTCAATGAAAGACAATGTGTTCGGAAAAACACTCTCCCGTGTTGGAGACAGTGAATGAACACAGTGTTTGCTCCCACACATTCATGATGTTCATACTCCTTCTCAAAATTCCTACTTTACTTAACCCCTTGTATACGGCCATATTATCATCTCATCCTTCTGGTTCTCTTTCATGGTAGTGGCTCCTCCGTGGAGTCATGATCACAAGTGTGTTGGAATTCACAGAATCTCAATACCCCCCACCCCCCGCCCTTTGCAGCAAGAGGTAGAACCTCACTTTCACCAGTTAGGAGTATTTACCAAGCTACAACCCCTCCACAGCATACATTCTTCTCCTATAATCTGTTCATTTGTTTGTCAAAAGTTGCCAGATCTCATCAATCTCCTGGTGCTGGCTATCATGGCTTTTTCCCAAACCAGAAAAAGGAATGCCAATATCAGTATGCAGCAAGCCTACTGACTCTACAGCAGGGGTGGGCAAAATGTGGCCTGTGGGCTGGATCTGGTCTACCAGCTAACTGGATCAGGTCTGCAGGCAGGTGCTCACCAGTTGATTGTACCTGGCCTGATGCGCAGCTGCTCCTGCTGTGCTCCGCATGGGGCAGCGTGTGCTGCACTCCCACCCTCCCATGCTGGAGGGCCCTGGCTTCATTCCAGACCCTGGCCAGTGTGTACAGCTTCTGAGTGGGGCAGCTGCTGCAGCCAACAGGGAATGGCTCAGGTCGGGTTGGGCTGGCACATGGTGGCATGAAACAGGCAAGTGGGGCAGAAGCAGCAGTAGCAGGTACCAGAGTGGGCATGGCTGCAGCCCCACCAGGCAGACATAGGACACAGACCAAGTGAGTGGGTGGCTCAGCTCCTCCCCTCCCCTGCCCTCTCCTAGGGACTAGCCAGGCTTCCCCCTTGCTGCTTGCTGGCAGCAGCTGCTTTCCTGCCCATTGCAGTGCACTGAGAGCCAGATAGGCAGTGCCGTTTCCTCCCCACTGTGGAGGGGCTGGGCTCAGCCAAGTCAAAAAGGGCGGGAGGGGAGCCACCATATGTGCACACCCACTCACCGACCATACCCACACACACACACACACACACACACACACACACACACACACCTCCACATCCCCAACACACCAACCACACACCCTACCACCATAACCCCCCCCACACACACACATCTGCCCCCACCATGCCCACATTATACACACACATCCCACACTGCCCCTACACCCACCTCCCAACCACACTTCCCTACCCCACCATGCACAATATACAAGAATAAAACTTTAATTTGAACTAGTATGCAATCACCTCTATATATACTATGCAAATGCATGCAAGTCAGGACAAAAATATTTTTGATATAACGTTATATGTTACAGAAGATGTTTGATTTTTAGTACATGATTTTTTTTTTTCTGGTTCCAAGCTGGCAAACCCCCCCCCCCGCACAAGGAGTGGGACTTCTGGTAGCAAAGATCAGATCTTCAGGTCCCAAGATGGCAACCAGGAGGTGGGGCACCTGTAAAGGGGCAGGACTATCCTTGAATCCCTCAACAGCTCACCAAAACTTATTAAGCAGCCCTCTAGCTGAATTTCCATTCCTTCATCATGTTTCCATGCAGACCTCGTCTGGGCTGCATTTATCAATTCCTTGAATTTCTTGGGCTCCCACTTTAGTTCTTTCATTTTAAACCTCTTACTGCATTTGAATTCTTATTTCTTCCCTCCCCCTCCACCCCCAATTCAATTGGGCCCTGGCTTCATACCTACTCCCAACTCTGGGGCTTAAGCCACCATGCCTGGTTTTCTCAAGTAGTACATTACCTCATATTGCCTGGAATTGCGCTCTCTGAATTTCTGCCCCGCCTACAAGAATGAAGTCACTGGCTTCTAGAACACGTTCTACAACAGAATTTAAGTCACCCCGCCCCCAATCAAGTCAAGGAAAGAATTCTAGTGATATGAACAGAGCAAATTCAGGCCATTCGAGTGGTTAGCCATCTGAAAATTGTGCACGTCATTGTACCACGATTGGGAATATTTATTCCAATACAGTATAACAGTGCTTTTCTCTTCAGAGAGAAACCCAAGTTATTAAACTAACGAAGTTTTGATTCATGCTAAATAATTATTTTGACACCTCATTCTATTTAAAAAGTAACAAGTACTAAGTTTTGACAAGAAGCTTATAAACTCCATTATTGTAAATATTAAAAAACCTAAAATGATTTGAATACTCCTAGAGTTGGCCTTTCAGACAAGTTAAGAAAACCTGCAATGATAGGAATTAGGATTTTCAAAATTACACGATTCCCTACTTGATAAAAAGGGATTAATGATATTGAAACCTTTTTATAGATACAGAACTTACTGAAACTCAAGCCATAAATTAAACTTCTGCTCTCAATTTAGGCAATCGCACTTGCATTACAGGAGAAGGGAACACACCTACTAAATTATGCAGATTTATAAACTTTTTCTCCTAAAACTTCTCCTGTCCTAGAAAAAATATAAAATGTAATACATTTATCAAAATGTTTTCATAAATATGGAATTTACATGGCAGAATGACCAGAAATTTTAAATGAAAATTCAACTAACTTTTCATATTGAACCGTATCTGCAAGGGTTTGGTTAGTAATACCAAGCCAGTTATTACTATTTGAATGCAATATATAGCATTCAATTTGATATTACAAATCTATTAATTACAAGTCCAAGGCAATACGAGTTAGAATATGTGGATTCATTTAAACATTATTTATGAATGCTTATCAAGAACTTATTACCATAAAATTTGACAGATTAATATTTCTAGAGCAACGGTATCTTGCCTAATTGAGTATAAGTAACATGCAACACATGTCATTCTGTTTTATTTCACTATACTGTAAAACTCGTTCTGAATTATGACAAGAGGCTTATCCTAAGAGTGGCTGCAGTAAGTGCCATACATTGCTATGTCTAAATATCACATCTATGAATGTTGCTGTGAAGAATGACCTGCCACTTGATCTCACTTTGTGCAGCCAATTCCCGAAAACTGTCATGCACTGCATCTTGAAATGTCAATCATCTATTATGTCAGTAAATCAGCTAGGTAAGAATTGAGGAGGAGCAATTGGAGCAGCAGCCCTGGGTGCTGCAAAAGCATCTGTTGCCATAGCAGCAGCTGATCACACTACCACAACTGGTATGGCAGGAGCTGGCACTGCCCTGGGTGCTGCACAGCTGCCTTGGACATGAAGATGCTTTGGTATGCCTCTGGTTAGGAAAACTTTACTGTCTCCATTCCCCATTTTCAGTGCATGCCAAAACAATAAACTGTAAAGTGATATGTTGCAATATGATACTGTGTTAATGTGTCTATAAAAATTGACTGAAAGACGACAAGCAGCCAAACATTGCAGAAGGAAATAGGTTACGTCTATCCTGTAAATGAAGACATGACTGCATCATATGCAGGCATAACTGCCCTATTTTTACTTTTAGCTGGCACTAGTACAGGGAAGAGGCACTGGCATGGAATTCAGTACAGACTAGCAACCTGAGCCCATGTCAAGGGACTGTGGTTAGCTTGCAAAACAAGCACAGAAGCCAATATGAACATGTGCTCAGTGTTCTGGTTAAACACGTTATCTAGATCAGAGCTAGTTCAGGAATACCGGAAAAACTGAGATAATTTCATTTGAAAAAAAGAGTGAGAAGAATTGTGACTGCATGGAACTGACAAAAAAGTAACCAATAAACTGCATCAAGGAAAATTTAATTTGAATATTAGGTAGAAATTTATAACTGTAAGGATGGTTAAGCATGGCAACAGATGATCTAGAGAGGTTGTGGAATCTCCATCCTTGGAAGTTTTTAAGGGCAGATTAGACGAACACTTGGTTAGACAAGCATTATCCTATCCTGAAGAGCCGGCTGGACTAGATCAGGGGTGGGCAAAGTCTGGCCTGCAGGCTGGGTCAGGCCCGCAGCAGACCATCTGCCAGCAGTGCCTGTGGTGGCACCTTCTTCTGGTTGCCGCTACCAAACCTAGTCTCACTACCTAGGCACCCCAGCCTGTCTGCCCCACACCTACCACTGGGGGTAGAACCCACATGGGCAGGGTGCATAGCTGGGGTGGGGCTGGGGCCAGGAGCAAGATGGGTGGGCAGGGCTGGACTGGAAACCAGCTAATCACCAACACCGCTTCATCTCTGAAAACCCCTCATGCAGAGGAGGACAGCCAGGACTTTGCACCTTCCCCAGGTTCCAGGCAGACAAACTCCATAGCATTGCTGCCTGGGGGATTCCCAGGATGTCTAGAACTGAGGCAAATTTCCAGCGTCACCCAGGGCTTAAATGGAGCCAAACTGAAGCAGAGCAGAGAGGGCCTGCTGCTGCTTTAACATCCTTTTCTCTTTTTCCCTTCACATGGACATAGGCCTCTGGGGATTAGAGAGGGGGAATCCAGCGGAGAACATGTTTTTGTCCTGTGAAACGCGAGTCCTCGGGGACTTGATGCTCTTGGCACAGTCTGTTCCACCCCAGCATCTTGGGTGGGGGTCCACGGCCATGTGCAATCCACTGCCCACATGCCTGCGGGTTCTGTGGGCAGAGGTGTGCAGGGAGTGGATCATAGCTCTGCTGCAGCCCGATGCTGTCACTGCCTCAAGATCCTGCCCATGGAGCAGCTCCCTGCCCAGCTGTATGCCCTGCGCACGCACAGACAGGGGCTGCTGGGAAATGGAGCCTGGCCACCAGCTGAATCTACCATTTTGACCATCCCTGGGCTGGATGGTCATCTTGAGGTCCCTTCCAGCCTTATTTTCTCCAACTGTATGTTTACACATTATGCAATTACCTCCACCACTGATGGTGGTATAGACACTCAAAAGGGTTGCAAAACAGCATAAAAGAGTAGAAACATGACTCGTACAATACTATTAATTTCTGAACCACTGTTTTTAGACTCTCAGGTCAAGGGGAACATATCTTTTATGTACTCACCCTGACTTCGTAAACATTATCTGAATAATCCACAGACTGGCAGATATAGCTGTATCCTCGAGCTCTTGATGCAAAGAATAGCTGAAAATATTAAATGAAGATGTAAGGGGAAATATTCGACAAGGAAAGAATTATTTACTAGTAAGAGTAATTAACAATTTGGTTATTCTAAGTTTAGTCCTAAAACAATTTTTAATGCATTTGTGATACAAAGACTAAACACTGACTATATTGTAGAACAATACAAAACTTAGTGCCTACTACCTAGACTATCAATCAAATAAAACGCTTTGTTGTCGGGGGAAATACACTGAGATTTAGAGACCCAAATGGAATAGGTCACAACAGAATTCCTAAAGACTTTCAAACATAGGTCCTGACACGAGAGGGAAGAAGTTCCAGACACAGAAAATGCTTCACATCAGTTTTGGTGAAACTGCAAAGAGCAACCTCATGACTGGATATAGAAAAAGAAGTTCCTGTGTATAGAAAAAGATAGCTGGGACCTAGACCA